GTAAGGATACCTCGGCATTTCGAAGGGACTATCATCATAAGATCATTTCTCGTAGGAAACTCGAGGGACATTTAGGGACCATGATCCTTATGATGACTTTAAACTAAGGGTCTTTGCTAAGAGTATCCCTACGTTTGAGGGACATGACCATTGTTTTTTTCCGAAGGCAACCAAAGTGGGAAATACCCTAAGGGTGCATGTATGCAATAGTGTGCTTTTTTCAGATATTTTATCTTACAGTTTAGTGATCTACTGATTTATTGATTAATTATCACGCCTAGGTTACTAGAAATTTATATGCAGGCATATAAAATATGAAAGCGAGAAATAAAGGTCTTACGCTATTACAAGGCTTTGGTGTAGATACATAAGGAATTGAATACAAGTAAAATGCGAAAATAAAAACACCTAATTAGCTATTACAAACGGGAAGCAGTTACATCAATAGTAAAAATTAATCGTACGGCAAAAATAATTACGCGTGAGAATAAAACTGAAATAAGCTTGAAACCCTAAAAAACCCTAATTTGATCATTGAAAATGTTTTTTTTTTGGGATTTTTTGTGAAAAAGATTTGAAGTTTGACCGAATTTTTCTAATTAACTTTAATTAATGAAACAAATTAAAGTTGATGAAATTAATTAATTTACAAAAAGTAATTTATTGAAAAAAACTAAATCCTATTTTTTGTGATGTTAATTTTATGAAAAAAATTGATTTAAACAAAATAAATAAACTAATTCAAATAAAATAAAAAAGTAACAAAATTAAAAGGGAAATAGAATAAACATGAGGGGGTATGAGCCCAAACTGGGGTTGTATTGCTGAAATTATGCAAAGGCCCAATCCTGTGAGCCAAAGCCCACGTGAGATCTGGTGAGGCTGCACTAGGAAGGTCCACTATAAGGAGCTTCATTGGAAGCGTTTAATCTGGGCGCTGATTGATCCAAGGATGAGGATCTGGAGGCCTACGATGTGCGCGCTTGGAAGGATAGCATGGGATCTGCAAGGGAATGTAGGAGGCAGGGATCGAACCCCTGACCTCCTACACACGCCCGGTTTGAAAACCTTTCCCTTTGCCACTGAGCCAATTGTTCAATCGTTAATACAAACAAACAACATATATTATATGTAATGATGGTTAGTAGCTGTAATAAAAATGTGAAAAATTCAAATGGACCACTCAGGTATGGACACGCAATCGTCTTCCTCATTGGGACTGTCATTTTAGACTAAGGGTTTTTACCCACAAACACGTTCGTTGCTAAAAACCTGTAATTCTCAAAAATCACCACCAGACAATATAAATTAAATCTAATTATACATATCAATTGGGTTTAGTCTCGTGAGTACAATGGTACCCTTCTTTGGCCATGATTTTTCCTGAAACGAAAGACCCTAAAAAGAACCTTGACACCCTAACAATGGTATTCAGTCAAATATGCATCAAAACACACAATTAATTATGCAGACATGTTCTAGATGATTATACAAACATGATATATTTTTAGAATTCATTTATCATGTGTGTATAGTCTAAACCAATTTTTAAAAAAAAAAGAGAAAACTGTGATACTTGTATAAGCTATTTTTGGATGTGTTGACGTGTGAGAGTGGTCCAAATAGCTTCCAAATATGCCCAGGAGTGGATTGCAGTCTTTGAAACGCCTTGAATCTCCCTCTGAAGCAAAATTCGATCACCACTTTTTGTCAAAATTTTGAGATTCTTGTGGGTGTTCTACACGACCAAATCTCTCCTTTATGATCATGGTTTGTTATGCATATATAGTAGAATGAATTAGGTTAACAAAATTGAACTGAATCTTGAAGATTGGGTGAGAAAAGATTTGATTTAGGTCTTGTATCTTTTGTTTCTAAGATAGGCCAAATCTTGCTATCTTTACTCCAACGTATTTTCCCTTTTGATTTGCCAGCATATTCATTCCTTATTTGATTGAGAGAAGATTCTTTCGATTGTGGGCTTTCTGGATTTTTTTGGAACAAATCCCCTTTCTTCCTTCGAATCTGCCTTCCTTTCCAACCTTAAACTCCCATTCGAACCAATCAAGACTTTCCTTCTTAGAACCGTGTTCTCCTTAATGGTTCTGAGTCCAATTGTGCCAGCTTCAATACTAGGGCTCCTTCGATTGGACCACCATTTGCTTCGATTTGCTGTCCTTTTGAAGAGAATTCCCTGGTCGAATTAGCTTTTTGTGGAATTATGAACAAATAAGGCAAAAATTTGGCCTGGACATATTTTCCGAGTGCCCTTTTGATGGCCTCTTTTGAATGTCCTGGAAGGAGTTCTTCGAATGGCCCTTGCCCAAATACCAATCGAAGGGTATTTATTGGAATGTCAATCGAAGAGTCTTTTGCTACGCCAATTGAAATATCTTGTCTATGCCAATCGAAGGACGTGGTTAACATTCCTGTCAAAGCTGCTTTGACACAATGCTAAATCGAAGGATCCCTTGCCATGCAAATCGAAAGGCTTTGACACAATACCCATCGAAAGGCTTGTCATGAGGCCAATCGAAAGGCCTTTTGCAGATGTCAATCAAAGGACCTTTTGCAGATGTCAATCGTAGGATGTTATGTAGATGTCAATCGAAAAGCATTTTGGAGATGCCGATCGAAAGTTATTTTGTAGATGCCAATTAAAAGGAACTTTGGAGATGCCAATCGAAAGGCACTTTGAAGATTCCAATTTAAGGGCATTTTATAGGTTCCAGTCGAAGGATAATTAACCATCATTTGAAAAAATTCCTTGTCTTTAGGCAAAGGTTTGTAACCACCTATGCAAGAGGAAATCTTGGAAAAATATGAGTGCGCAAATTTTTGGGTACAACGTGATTTTTATCACTATTTTGTAACATCAATTGATTATAGTGGAACTATTTTCTTTGGTCTGGATCACTCGTGGTTTTTACTATCATATTGAGGGGTTTTCTACGTTAAAAATATCGGTGTTCTTTTGTGCTTTTATTGTTCAGTTGTCGTCTTATATATGTTGTTGATCCTCTAATTTCCTACAATTTTTTGAAATGATATATATGTTGCGTATTAGTATATTATTCTATCTTAATCTCCTATGAGAGTGGTATCAGAGCTCTTGGTTATGGGCTATTTTACTTTATTGAATGATGGAGTCAAATACAAAGATGAAGATGGTATTGTTTAATGGTTTTAATTACCATTTATGAGAGGGAAATATGAAAGACTTACTATTAGTGAAGAAATTTTATTTACCGGTTTTGAGTTCTATAAAGCCAGATTTTGTATCTGATGAAGGATGGGAGTTTAAACATTAATAGGTATGTGGTTTTATTCGATAATATGTAGAAGATAATGTTTATAATCACATTTCTAATGACATGCATGCAAAATCTTTGTGGGATAAGATAGAGTCCTTGTATGCCTCTAAATTAGGGAATAATAAATTGTTCTTGTTTAATATATTCATAAGTTTGAAGTATAAGGAGGGGACTTCTATTTCAGATCACTTGAGTGAATTTCAAGAGTTCCTTGATCAGATGTCAAGAATGAGTATCAAATTTGATGATGAACTTTTAGGACTATTTTTAAAGCTATCTTTACCAGAGTCTTGGGAGACGTTTCAGGTTTCTATTACAAGTTCTGCTCCTAAAGGTGTTGTTTCATTAGAAACGGCTAAGGGTGGTATTCTTAATGAGGAGATAAGAAGGAAGGCACAAGGCTCTTCATCTCAATCTGAGGTACTTATCACTTAAAATAGGGTAATAATTCATAAAAAGGAACCAAAGGGTGGTAGAGAGAATAGCAGAAGCAAGTCTAAGCCACGATACAAGAATCTGAAGTGTAATTATTGTCATAAAACAAGAGACATACATAAGTATTATTATCAGTGGGAATGGGATATTAAAGGCAAGAAAGGTAAGTCTAAACAAAGATATCATGATGATCATGATGATGATAGTGTTACTACTACCACTAGTAATGATCTTATTGTTCTACGTGATTATGAGTCTATTAATCTAGTATCAAACGAGGGCATATGGATAGTTAACAATGGTGCTACATTGCATATTACACCAAGAAAGGATTTCTTCATATCTTATACTTATGGTGATTTTGGAGTTTTAAATATTGGTAATGATGGTGTATCTAAGGTAATTGGTGTTGGGGATGTTTGCTTGCAAACCAACATGGGAATGCAATTGTTGCTTAGAGGTGTCAAACATGCTCCGGATGTCCGCTTTAATTTTATCTTTGTGCATATGCTTGATGATTGTGGCTATGACAATCACTTTGGTTATGGAAAGTGGAAACTCAACAAAGGTAACTTGGTTATGGATAGAGGGGAAAAGCTTTCTAAATTGTACTGGACAAAAGATTTGGTTGCTAGGGACAGTGTGAATGCTATCAACAAGGAAGCATCTTTGTGGCACCAAAGGCTTAGTCATATTAGTGAAAAGGCGCTAAATTTTTTGGCCAAAAAGGATGTTCTTCAAGGATTATGAATTCATATTTGGAGAAGTGTTCTCATTGCATGGCTGGTAAACAGACTAGAGTATCTTTCAAGAGACATTTTCCCTCAAGCAAGTCAAAGTTGCTTCAATTATTATATTCTGATGTTTGTGGGCCATTAAAGGTAAAATCTTTTAGTGGTGCACTTTATTTTGTTACCTTTATTGATGTTGGTTCCAGGAAACTATGGGTTTATGCCTTGAAGACAAAAGACCAAGTGTTAGAGAAGTTCAAAAAATTACATTGCTTTGGTAGAGAGGCAGACATGCGAAAATTTGAAATGTATTCATTTTAATAATGGTGGTGAGTATTGTGGACCATTTGATTACTATTGTAAGAAATAAAGTATTGCATATGAAAAAACTCCCCCTAAAACTCCTCAATTGAATGGTTTAGCAGAGAGGATGAATCGAATAATAATTGAGAGAGTAATGTGTATGCTCTCTGAAGCTAGGTTACCAAATCATCATTGGGGTGAGTCCCTTTATACGAAGATGCATGTTCTTAATCTTACTCCTATTGTTGCTTTGAACTGTGAAGTTCTTGACAAGATTTGGTTTGGAAAGAATGTCAAGTATGATCACTTGAAAGTCTTTGGTTGTAAGGATTTTGTGCATATTCCAAAGGATGAAAGATCCAAGTTGGATGCAAAGTCAAAAAATGTATATTTATAGGCTATGGGCAAGATGAGTTTGGTTACAGGTTGTATGATCCTGTATGGAAGAAGCTTTTCCGAAACCGTGATGTAGTATTAATGGAAGACCAAAACATTGAATACATTGATAAGGTATAGGAGATTAAAGCCAAGAAAGATATCAGTTTGTCTAATGTTGATCCAATTCAGTTACATAATCATAATATATATGCTATTGGTGGTGATGATCGTAATAGTGAACCTTATGATTATGTTGATGATCAACAACTTGGAGATGAGGTAAATATTCCAACTAATGATGATGAGAAGGGGAAAATGATATGACACAGGATGACAATCTTGGTGAAGCTCCAAAATCATCTCAAGTTCAACTTAGAATGTCTATCAAGTAGAGACAACCTTCTACAAGGTATAATTCTGATGAGTATATGACTTTAGTGTTTTCAAGAGGCCTTAGAAAGTGATGAAAACAAAAAGTGGTTGGATGCAATGCATGACGAGATGAAATCATTGCATGATAATCACATTTATGATTTAGTGAAGTTTCCTAAAGGCAAAAGGGCTTTGAAAAATAGGTCGATTTATTAAGTTAAACATGAGAACAAATGTAAGTATCCAAGATATAAAGATAAATTAGTGGTGAAAGGTTTTCTTCAAAGAAAGGGTGTTGATTTTAATGAGATTTTCTCACCTATTTTAAATATGTCATCAATTAGAGTCGTGTTGAGTTTAGTTGCTACTCTTGATTTAGAGGTTGAGCAAATGGATGTGAAAACGGCTTTCCTTCATGGTGATTTGGAGGAAGAAATCTCATTGAAACATCCCGATGGTTTTCAAGTTAAATTCAAAGAAGATCATATTTGTAGATTGAGAAAAAGTCTATATGGGTTGAAGCAAGCTCCAAGGCAATGGTATAAGAAGTTTGAGTCTGTTATGCGTGATCAAGGATAACAGAAGACTACTTCAGATCATTGCGTCTTTATTAGAAAAAATTTTAATGATGACTTCATTATCTTATTATTTAAAGTGATGATATGCTTATTGTAGGGAAAAATATTTATAACATTAACTGGTTAAAGAAGCAGTTGGGAGAGTCATTTTCCATGAAAGACATGGGAGCATCTAAACAGATTCTTGGCATTAGAATCATTCGTGATATAAAAGAGAAGAAACTTTGGATTACCCGAGAACATTATATCGAAAGAGAACTACAAAGATTCTAAATGGAAAGTTCTAAGGCGGTAAGCACTCCTCTTGCTACTCATTTCAAATTAATTTCTAATCAAAGTCCTTCAAGTGAAGATGAAGTGTTTGATATGAAATATATTCCTTATGCGACTGTTGTGGGTAGTTTGATGTATGGAATGGTGTGTACAAGACTGTATATAACACATGTTTCTGGTACAATCAGTATATTTTTTCAAATCCACGTAAAGAGAATTGGAATATTGTAAAATGGATTTTAAGATATCTTCGCGGTACTAATTCTAAAAGGGTTTACTTTGGAAGAGATAAGCCTACTCTAGTAGGACACTTTGACTCTCATATGTCTGGAGACATTGATTCTAGAAAGTCCACTTTGGGCTACATCATTAAATTTGCAGGGGGAGTTATGGCTTGGTAGTCCAGATTGTAAAAGTGTGTAGCATTGTCTACTATAGAGGTTGAGTTTATTTCCATTACTGAAGCATGCAAAGAGTTATATGGTTGAAGAAGTTTTTACAGGAGCTTGGTTTTGTTCAAGACAAATATGTGTTATTTGTTGATAGTCAATGCGCTATTCATCTTGGTAAGAATCCAACTTTTCATGATAGGTCCAAACACATTGATGTGATATATCATTGGATACATGATGTTTTGGATGCTAAGTTATTGGTGTTAGCTAAGGTTCATACAAATGATAATGGTTATTATATGATGACTAAAGCATTACAAAGAGGTAAGTTTTAATCTTGTTGTGATATTGCCGATTTGGCGATTTCCTCCACATAGTTGTGATATTACAATTTGTTATGTAGTTTTCAACGAAGCTGAAACCGTTTTCAAGAAAACTAATGACGTTGGTCGAAAGCAAGGATCTTTAAAGAAGATCTAGAACCAAAAGAGATTCATGTTGAGATGGAGCATATTGATTTTGAATTTCATAACCCAAATGAAGTCGAGGAAGAAGCACATGATACTGAAGAAACTGAGAAAATTGTTGATGACTACCTGCTAACAAGAGATAGGTTGAGAAGAGTCATTAATCCATCTCAAAGACTTGGTTGTGAAGGTCTCATAGTATTTTATTTAATCTCTACTAGTGAGGTACTTGAAGAAGAACCTAGATATTATAAGGAATTTATGAGGAGTCGAAACAAGGATGAATGGCTGAAGGCAGTGGATGATGAGATGAAATCTCTTCATGGTAACCTAACTTGGGAGCTCATCAAGAAACCTGCATGAGACAACTTAATTATCTATAAGTAGATTTTCAAGGTTAAGGAAGGAATCAAAGGAGTGATGTCGAAGAGAATTAAGGAAAGGTTGATTTCTAGGGGGTTCACTTAGAAAGAATGAGTTGATGTCAATGATGTGTTCTCACTTGTTGTAAAGCATATATCCATTAGAAAGTTATTGGCACTGGTGACGAAGTTTGACTTAGATCTTAAACAGCTGGATGTGAAGACCACCTTCCTATATGGTGATCTGGATGAAACATTTATGATGAAGTAACCTGAAGGGTATGCAGAAAGAGGCAAGGAATAATATGTGTGCAAGTTGAATATGTAATTGTATGGCCTGAAACAATCACATTGACAATGGAATAGGATATTTGATAAGTTCATGTCACATATAGGTTTCATTATGAGTCAGTTCAACCACGATGTTTATTCAAGACTTTAACCTGAAAGTGCATTTGTTATTTTGTTGCTTTATGTGGACGATATCCTCATAGAAAGAGATAGCGTCGAAGATGTATGGAGGTGAAGGATAAACTCAACAAAGAGTTCGAAATGAAGGATCTGGGAGCTTCCACCAGGATTCTTAGGATTGACATCCGGAGAGATATAAAGCAATAGAGATTACAATTATCTCAAGAGATATAACTAAGGAAGATTCTCGAAAAATTTGGTAGGAAGAATTCAAAACCCGTCGTGACACCAATAAATCCTCAACTAAAGCTGAGTATGACTCAAAGTTTAGGTACGAAAGTCGAAAGAGCCTACATGAATAGCATTCCTTATGTTAGTATAGTATTTTCTTTGATGTATGTTATAGTTTATACGAGGCCAGACATAGCCTTATCAATTGGAAAGATTTGCTTCAGAAGGTTGTAGCCTTATCAACAACTGAAGCTGAATATATTGCCCTCACTGAAGCTGTAAAAGAAGCATTGTAGCTTGAAAGGTTTGCTAAGGATAAGCTATAATTGTTAAATGTGATATTGAAAGTGCTATATATTTGTCGAAGAATTCAACCTACTATGAGAGAACAAAGCACATTGATGCTAGGTTGCATTTCGTCTGGAAGAAAATCGAAAGTGGAGAAGTCAAAATGATGAAAGTTTTCATTGATCACAATGCTGCAGATATGATCACCAAGTCACTGTCAAGCAACAAGTTCTTTTCACTATATGCATTTGATAAAACTGCATGATGATAACTACTTTGTTCCCTTATTGCTTTGGATTTTGTTCCAAGGAGAGTTTGTTCTATTATAGGTTGTGCATATTGTAATCGAAGTCTGTTCTAGTATGTAGTAGTCGAAGATGTGCATGTTGTAGCCGAAGCTTGTTCTAGCATGCATCTGTCTAAGTTAGTTTGTGTATTTTATTATGTAGTGGCTATGTATGTCATGTATGTATGTGTGTTATCATCAGTGGCGAAGCCAGCGTCCGGCCAGGTAGGGCAGCTGCCCAGGCTCCGCCCGACCATGCTTCACCATCTCGCGATGGAGATCTTCTATCTATGGCCATCTTCCAACACACCATACCGTAAACAGATACACACCGCAACACCACTCTTGCCTTTCTGGTTTCCGTTCAATCAATTATCGGTGAGCATCACCTTCCTCCGCCGATTCTTTCTTCTTCTTGCTTCTGTTTCAATTCATATCTCCTACATCATTGTTGTTGTTTTGTTATTTGTTGTTGTTATTGTTTTTGCAGGTTGTGGTGTTGAATTTGTTGTTTCGTGCTATGTCCACCAAGTGTTCGGTAAAATTTCTGAACGAATATTTTTCTTATTGGGCATCCTAGAATCCAATCCAGAGAGTATATCAACTTTTCTATTGGACTACTAGAAAATCTTATGTACAAAAACTATCAATTTAAGTTAATGATAAATATTATGTGTAAAATTTATCCGTTTAAATGTGAAACATATGTGTCCATTAATTTGACTCTTCTACTTCTATTGATCAGTAGAAAGGTTCTATCGTCAGCGTCGAATTCGTTGAAGTCTTCGTTGCCTATGGTACTTATCTTCGTTGCCTATGTCAGCTTTGGTGTCCGTGGATCCGACAGTGTCATGGCCCGGAAAAAACCTTGAGGTAAAGTCCATGCCGAGGTGGTTCTTATAAAAGGCGCATAATTTCTACTGTCTTGAACATTCATTTGAGTTTGTTTGTTAATGTAATCGTAGGTGCATCTTTACAAGACAAGCTTTGGTGCATGTGCTGCATTCCTTGCAAATTACGACACCTCGTCGTGGGCAAAAGTTCCATTTGGAAATGGCCAGTATGACCTCCCACCCTGGTCTATCAGTATTCTTCCTGACTGCAAAACTGAGGTTTTCAACACTGCAAAGGTAACACAAGATTGCTGAATGTGTAAGGCTTTTCTAAGCAGTGGCGGAGCCAGTGTCCGGACAGGTAGGGCAGCTGCCCAGGCTCCACCCGACCATGCTTCACCATCTCGCGATGGAGATCTTCTATCTATGGCCATATTCCGACACACCATACCGTAAACAGATACACACCGCAACACCACTCTTGCCTTTCCGGTTTCCATTCAATCAATTATCGGTGAGCATCACCTTCCTCCGCCGATTCTTTCTTCTTCTTGCTTCTGTTTCAATTCATATCTCCTACATCATTATTGTTGTTTTGTTATTGGTTGTTGTTGTTGTTGTTGCAGGTTGTGGTGTTGAATTTGTTGTTTCGTGCTATGTCCACCAAGTGTTCGGTAAAATTTCTGAACGAATATTTTTCTTATTGGGCATCCTAGAATCCAATCCAGAGAGTATATCAACTTTTCTATTGGACTACTGGAAAATCTTATGTACAAAAACTATCAATTTAAGTTAATGATAAATATTATGTGTAAAATTTATCCGTTTAAATGTGAAACATATGTGTCCATTAATTTGACTCTTCTACTTCTATTGATCAGTAGAAAGGTTCTATCGTCAGCGTCGAATTCGTTGAAGTCTTCGTTGCCTATGGTACTTATCTTCATTGCCTATGTCAGCTTTGGTGTCCGTGGATCCGACAGTGTCATGGCCCGGAAAAAACCTTGAGGTAAAGTCCATGCCGAGGTGGTTCTTATAAAAGGCGCATAATTTCTACTGTCTTGAACATTCATTTAAGTTTGTTTGTTAATGTAATTGTAGGTGCATCTTTACAAGACAAGCTTTGGTGCATGTGCTGCATTCCTTGCAAATTACGACACCTCGTCGTGGGCAAAAGTTCCATTTGGAAATGGCCAGTATGACCTCCCACCCTGGTCTATCAGTATTCTTCCTGACTGCAAAACTGAGGTTTTCAACACTGCAAAGGTAACACAAGATTGCTGAATGTGTAAGGCTTTTCTAAGTGTGAACATTTGCAAATATTTATCAATTTTTTTCAGGTTGGTGCTCCGAGGTTCCATAGAAAGATGACTCCTGTAAACAGCGCGTTTAATTGGCAGTCGTATAATGAACAACCTTCCGCCTCCGGTGGAGAAAGTTCGATCACAACAGCTGCACTTTTGGAGCAGGTCGGTGTCACTCGCGATTCGTCAGATTATTTGTGGTACATGACAGAGTAAGAATCTTTCAATTTCTCAAACTTTCTTAAACACTATAAGTAATTGGAATGTTAAAATCTCCTAAATATTTACTGATACTTCAATTTTTGGTTCTTGTTTAGTGTCAACATTAGTCCTAACGAAGCTTTCTTAAAGAATGGCCAATATCCTGTTCTTACAGCAATGTCGGCCGGCCACGTTCTGCATGTTTTTGTTAACGGTCAACTTTTAGGTGAGCATGCTTCCTAGTACATTCCACAAAATTCCGAGATAATACGTTTTAAAATGCACCTCGTCAGTATTCGCGTGTTTCGGTTAAATAGTTATCATACTAAACAGAAACTCTCTTTACATAATCATCTCTTGTATGAATGTAGGAACTGCATACGGAGGATTGGATAATCCTAAATTAACATTTAGCAGTGGTGTGAAGCTATGGGCTGGCAATAACAAGATTTCTCTACTTAGTGTTGCAGTCGGTCTCTCGGTTAGTTGTTTGTTTTCTTATGTCTATGAAATATGTGACATTTTCGATTTGCTTTAAAAAAAATATGTTCTTAATCATTTTTTGTATTCAAATTAATTCTAGAATGTTGGCTTACATTACAAAACATGGAATGTTGGAGTGTTAGGCCCGGTAACGTTAAAGGGTCTAAATGAGGGGGCAAGAGACTTGTCTAAACAAAAATGGTCTTACAAGGTTTGTTATAGTATATATTCATTAGAAAATGCAGAATATGTATGTTGTTGAGCATATTTTATGTGTTTTTGCTATCATCTTTTGAGGTCGGTCGGTAAATTTTACGTTATTGGACAGACTGGACTGAAAGGTGAATCTTTGAACCTTCATACCGCAACTGGAAGTTCCGCGGTAAAATGGTCACAAGGATCATTTTTGTCTAAAAAGCAGTCTCTCACATGGTACAAGGTAAGAATGAGTTTTCTACAAAATGTTGCATTTTTGTTAGTGTTATACAAGATTTTATATGCATTTGCATGAGTTCTGAATTCTGGTTCATTTTAACTTCAATGGTGCCAGACAACTTTCAGCGCGCCCGCTGGAAACGATCCGTTGGCTCTAGATATGAGTAGCATGGGAAAGGGTGAAATATGGGTAAACGGTAAGAGCATTGGTCGCGATTGGCCCGGATATATAGCACGTGGTAATTGTGGCAGTTGTAATTATGCCGGAACATTTACCGATAGTAAATGCCGAACAAATTGCGGACAACCAACTCAAAAATGGTAAGATTCCATCCATTCAATTTACTTTACAACAATGTAAATATTTCGAGACCATGAGATCCTATTTTTGTCTTTCGACAGGTATCATTTTCCTCGCTCGTGGCTAAACTCAGGCGGGAACTTCTTGGTTGTGTTGGAAGAATGGGGAGGTGACCCTACCGGAATTTCATTGGTGAAAAGAACATAAAGTGTGGTCATTTGATTTTTTTGAAAAGGTATTGCATCGCAACCACGGTTTTAAAACGGTCAACGTCCACAACATCGATGTTTTTTTCTTCTGCTTATTATTGTTATGGTCTATTTTGCAGAACTGCATTTGCAAGCATTAGTTGTATAGTGACTCATGTCTAGGAAACCCAAAGGAGCTTTCAGATAAGTCCCTATGCAACTATGATCTCTTTGATGCAGCAAAGTACACCAAATAAATGTGATTCAGTTCTTATCAGATAGATTTAGTATATAAAGTTTTTCAAGTTCAACATTGATGCTCCATATTTCAAGGCATAATAATCAACAACCTGGCCAAATATATATATATATATATATATATATATATATATATATATATATATATATATATATATATATATATATATATATATATATATATATATATATATATACACAAACAAGAGAAATTTGATGCAAAGAGAATGTATAGTGTATACTGTACATAGGCAAACTATTATGCTTATTTCATGTATTTAAGGGCTTGTTGTAATGAATATTAAGCCCGCCATATACAAACTTTCAATTGATTTGTGACATTCAATTTGATAATGTTAACTTTGAACTGGACTCTAAGCAAGTGGTGGACACTTCAACTGTTTTAATGATGTTGTTACTTATTTCAGCCCCAAACCATGATTGCAGAATATATGCATTTATTTTCTTTATTACAGTATTAACAAACTCTCTTGTTGAGTTCATTAAGAAACAAGTCAAATGGAATTGTCAAAGCATTGGCATAGCACGAAAGCGATGCCACATGGTTTTCCAGAGGAAGTATTGAAAGGTATGGCTTGTTATCATAATTTTTTATTTGTTGATAACTTAGATTGGCATATCTTGGAATCATTGTTGTTAAATAGCAGTTATAGCTATTGTACTATAGTGTAGCGGAATTTGATCACATCCCTATTGTTTTTTGTTATGCTACTTAGTATAATGTGTTCTCAAATAGTGGCTCTACAACATTGTAGCATACCGGAATTTTAACAAACCACCACTTCGCCGGTCTGCATTTGACAATATTATTTGAAATTTGAATTGATAGCGGTGTTTTTAGGCAGTACTTAATTTCACACAAATGAGCGTGTTGAACTAATTTTCTCGGCTTTTATAGGTTTGTTCATTTTGTGAGCACACCTGAAATACTGTAACATGTATATATTATAGAATCCGGAATTTTAACATGTATATATTATAAAATCCGAAATCTTACAAATTGAAGAGGTAATTGCAATTCAAGGAAATAATTCCTTTGGGATTAGCAATGTACTGTCTTGGTAGAAAATTATGAAGCCAATGAAAACTTGTCCAGACTTCATAATTTTCTTGGCTCCGCCACTGGTTATCATCATACATAATATACATATTTAGTAGTCTATAAACAGACTGTTCTCTCAAGTTGTTGAGAGAGATTGATTGTTGTTATTCACTTATAATCACTTAGTCTTAATTGAGAAAGTGAATAGAAAAACAGTTATAATAAACTTCGTTTCTCTCACTTCTCTTCTCTCTTCTCTCACATCGTAAATTGAACGGTTTCTTGTGTTTGTTAAAAAGACTCTCTTTCACTCTTATCTGCCTTATTAAAAACAATGATTGTCCCAATAAAAACCATGATGAAAAGCAACTAACCCATAAAGAAAAATATTCATTAATGATTTGTCAAGTGATTTCCTAATTTAAATATACACACCCGCAAATTGATCTCTAGAGAATGTCAAACTATCCACAGTAAAGACCTTACCATACAAATTTACATTCTTAATAAAGACTTTCAGACAAAACATGTGTAGGGATCCCTCTAAACCTCAACCATATATCCCTTTTAAAAGAGGAGAAGAAAGCTAACCAAATATTGATGAAGGTAAAGAATTGCTTCCGAAAAGAGATATCACCAGATTTAAACTCCTCTAACGCTCCTACCACCTTTAAACTAAGAACAACTTTCTCTCCTCTCAGCCTAGAAACAGAGTTTCTTTGAAAATCTTAAACAATTATTTTGTATTAAAACTATTTTTCCTTTACAAAAACATGCAACGACACTGAGTGTTCTTGGATTTCTTCAAGTTCACAATATTATTTCATCCATAATCTATTGGATTCTGTCTGTATCACCTTTTATACATTAAAACCTATCTTTTTAAAAACTCATATGTTCATCATTCATTAACAATTCATTACATTAGCTTTTCAATGTACGGTTTGACCATTGAATTTACTCACATAATATTGTTATGAATTGTACAATCAAATGTTCTTCATCCTTAAAACATTAAACTAGACACTAATCTCAAATTTTAATTTATTTAAGACCCTGCATTTAAAAGTATATTTGTTGATGTTTTGATTCCTATCAAAATCAAAACTAACATTAATAACAAGTTGAGTTAACAAGTTGAGTTAACAAGCTGAGTTGATGATTGTTTATATATCTTTTAAAAATCTTCATGTATCATTTTATCAGATTCATTCACCGTAAATAAATTGGATTACAAAATTTAATCATTTTTATTAAATAAATAATTAAGTGAATCATAATGTCAATGAACATAGCCAATCCTAACTTATTAGAGACCTTAGACAAATAATAAAAATGGACCCTAAAAAAAAGCAATTAATCAAAAGATTTAATTATAAATAATATTAATATTATTAAATTTTTAATATATTATTATAAAATAAATCTAATTATATATTTTTTTTTTTAAAAACATAATAATTCAAATTAAATTTATCAATCAATTTCTCTTTTTTCTCGATATTAGAAAAGTAAAAGTTTTTAATAGTAATTACGTAGAGATAAGTTTTTTAGTTGTTGTTGGATTTACGTAAACACAAGTTAACATCAGATTATTTACACAGCGACAAATTAGCATCAAATTGTTTAAAAACATTTTAAACTTATTAATTTAATTTATTATTTATATACTAATAAGAATGAATTAAAAATAACACTAATATTTAATTTTTTAAATATATTATTGCAAAATAAAATTTACCAATATATCTTTTTAGAAACAAGATCAAACCACTAATAAGTATATGATATTTATTAGTCTATAAACTTAAAAATAAATAATTTAGTCATATAATAAACCTTTAAATATTTAATTACAAAAAATAAATATTATCAAAAAATGTATATATATATATATATATATATATATATATATATATATATATATATATATATATATATATATATATATATATATATATATATATATATATATATATATATATATATATATATATATATATATATATATATATATATATATATATATATATATATATATATATATATATATATATATATATATATATATATATATATATATATATATATATATATATATAGTAACAAAGAATTCATTTAGATCATTTGGTAAAATATATATCAAAATATATCAACCACTGCGCTGCAAAGATAAGTTGTTGTATTATTTCAAATTAAAGTATATGTAATAATTTGATTATTACAATTCATAAAACTCACGTCCAAATATTTGAGGTCCTTTTTTTGAGACATCGGGCTTGTTTGTCTGGGTTCAAGGTCGGTCTTATCAAAGAATGATGGAGAAAAAAAATATTTTTAATTGATATAAGATAATTGCAGTTTCATGTTCTAAGTCGTCTAAATTTACAAGATCAATAACTTTACTATATATTGCATTTAAAATAAGTATAATCTAGTTATAGTTACCCTTACATTTCTCGGTAAAATGTCGTGGATAGCCACTTGTGGAAGTTGTTGCATCAAGACACGACGATCATGAGATTTTAAGTCAACTAAATTGAGATCACTCATTGACACAAGTTTTTTCATATTTGATGAATATCCTTAGAGAACTTTGATACCCTGCAAACATTCACAAAAACATTTTTTCTTTTTTACCTAGAGTGTAACATGCTGGAGACAAATAGGTTATCTTTCCTATTTCTTTTGGGACTAACTCTTGCCATATACCCATCACAACAATATCTTCGCGGGATTTCTTAGTATCTTTTGTCATGCCTTTAATGTTGAGAAGTGTTCCAATTAAATTATCAGAATCATTTTTCTCCACATGCATCACATCAAGACAATGTCTTACATCTAGACTAGACCAGTATGAAAGATCAAAGAATACCAACCTCTTTTTTCAAATATTGTACTCCACAATTTTTTTTGTTTCTTTCCAAAGACAACATTAATGTGTTGTTGTCTTTTATAAACTACCTTCCCGGTTAAGGGTTTAGAGTGATATCAAATACATGCACTCCATTAAAAGTCTTTCGCGATCTACGGTATGGATGATTAGGTCTTAGAAATTTTCAATGGCCAAGACATGTATCAAATTCACATATATGACATGCTTTATGTCCCTTGACACTATACCTAAACAAATTATTGTATGTAGTTTCGTACCCCAAAATTTCCCTACTGATATTACTGGTCAAATTTATATCATTTTCCTATTAATTTTAGTGTTATTATAATACATATTTACATTGTATTGGTTACTTATTTTAAATTATTGTATTAAAAAAAAAAAGAGTCTAAATTAGAGAGGGAGGGGTGTGTTTTATATTGTTGGATTTATTTGAAGTCCAATTTTGTTAAGGGTCCAATCATGTTTTTTGTGTTGACCTGAAGTCCACATAGATTGCATTGATTTATTATTATTATTATTATTATTATTGATAGAAAAAAATAATAGTATTACACATTAAGGAGGGGTTGACCTAGAGTCAACTCCCTCTGATTATACAATTTATTTTTATTATTTCACATTGCATTATTATTATTGCTTTTTATTCAAAATTTGTTGACAAAGTCAACATTAGAGTAAAACCCTAGATTGCAAAGTTGTGCCCATATGTTTCTCTTCATCCCCAAGTCACCCAAGCCCAAAATTCAAGATTTGAAAAATCGAATCTTTTAGATTGAATAAAATAAATATTTGTTTGTAT